CCTTTCTGCCCTGCAGTTTCCTAGACATCCCCAGACCACGAATATGTCCCCACCCCCGTCCCTTTACCCCACACAAAATAAACACAAGGAAAACCCAATTTCCAGGAATAACAGTTAGGGAAGGGAGGGAAGGGGGAAAGGGAGGGAAACCGGCATGAGAGGCAAGGAGGGGCCCTTATCACTCTCCAACAGGTCGGGTCCTGCCTGCATACAGGGCTGAGTCATCATCCTGCTCCACCCAAAACCTTATAGTCCATACGTGAATGGCTCTCAGAAGCCTGAGTTCTCTAGAGGGTAGGCAGGGTTGATATCATCCCCCCCCCTCCCGGCAGGAACCGGGGAATCTGGGCTCTGGCCCTTGCAGAAGGCTTGCTGAGCATCTAGACACTAGATGCTAGAGAGATGCAGTTTCCTGAAGAACCAGGGTGGAAGGGGTCAGCTGGGCTGGAGAGAGGAGTGTGGCAATAGCTTTTACGAAGTGACACTTGTTGGGTCCACTCTGATGACAAGGGCAAAGTCTATGAATTGCTCATAGCATGTCCCACTTGGCACTTCTGACATAGTGTGAGTCTGTTAATGAATGAGTGAAATAAAGATGAATATTCGCTGACTTACAGTGGAGTTCTATCTCTATAAACTACTATAAAGTGAAAATATGTTTAACACTGTGGGACGTCACAGCTCAGCAGTCCTGGCCATCCCTCCCCTTCCTGGTGGCTGGGTGACTGAGTGTCCACATTGTGCCTTGTCCACATTAAAAGAGTGTCAGAGAGGTGACGATTCGTACCTGTAACACTTGAGAGACTGAGGCAGGAAAATCTTGAGTTTGAGCCAACCTGGGGTACATAGCATGTCTGAAATTGGTTTGAACCACATAGTGAGATCTTGTCTCAAAAAAAAAAAAGATTACATCATTAGTCTGGGAAGAGAAAAAATTTAAAATAAAAAAATCTATATTCCTATATTGAACTGTTTTTGAACCAATTTCTTTCATCTTTGCCTGTTTGTTTGCTGTTTGTTTGTTTTGCTTTTCAAGACAGGGTTTCTCTGTATAGCCCTGGCTGTCCTTGAGCTCCCTCTGTAGACCAGGCTAGGCTGGTCTTGAACTCAGAGAGCTACCTGCCTCTGTTTTCCAAGTGCGGGGACTAAAGGCACTCCCCAGCACTGCCCAGATTATTTGTCCTTTCTTATTATTTATGTCACTAAGTGACAGTCATCATGTGTTTTGCACCCATGACTGACAAGGGTAAAGTGTGAGCTGCTCACAGCACTTGGTGCTTTGGACTTCTGACATATTCAGAGTGAGTCTCCTGCTATTAATGAACGGATGAATGATGCTGGATGAAAGAATATCAATACTCCCTGATTTACAACGGCCTGCTGCTATTGTTATTGTTATTATTGTAGTGCTGGCGGCCAAACCCAGGGACTGAACTCAACTTATAAGTGCTTTTGGGTGCAACATAGGCTCTAGGATGCCATATGGTTGGTACACCTGTCTGGGACTTCCCTGGCCCAGGCTTCTTCTATTTCTCAGTCACATCCAGGGAGAGTTGCTTTAGGAAGCTGGGGTTCATCCTGACAGATGGCACAGCCTATGCCTCTGGTTCATGAGGAAATCAGCAGTTTCCCCCCCAAAAAAACTGTATTTGATGTTTGATGTGGATGCCATGATGCTGGAGTGGACACCATGATGCTGGTGTGGACACAGAACTGCTGGTGTGGACACTGTGATGCTGGAGTGGACACCATGATGCTGGTGTGGACACAGAACTGCTGGTGTGGACACTGTGATGCTGGAGTGGACACCATGATGCTGGTGTGGACACCATGATGCTGGTGTGGACACAGAACTGCTGGAGTGGACACCATGATGCTGGTGTGGACACAGAACTGCTGGAGTGGACACCATGATGCTGGAGTGGACACCATGATGCTGGTGTGGACACCATGATGCTGGAGTGGACACCATGATGCTGGAGTGGACACCGTGATGCTGGAGTGGACACCATGATGCTGGTGTGGACACCATGATGCTGGAGTGGACACCATGATGCTGGTGTGGACACAGAACTGCTGGTGTGGACACCATAATGCTGGTGTGGACACCATGATGCTGGAGTGGACACCATGATGCTGGTGTGGACACCATGATGCTGGAGTGGACACCATGATGTTGGTGTGGACACCATGATGCTGGTGTGGACACAGAACTGCTGGTGTGGACACAGAACTTCTGTGGGGAGATCACAGGGTACATGTCTGGAAAAGCAGCTTGGTAATGAGTATGGAGGATTTAGCACATGTCTATAATCCCAGCACCCAGGAAGCTGAAGCAGAAGAATCTTTTTTGTTTGTTTGTTTGTTTGTTTTTTGAGACAGGGTTTCTCTGTAGCTTTGGAGCCTGTCCTGGAACTTGCTCTGTAGACCAGGCTGGGCTTGAACTCACAGATATCCACCTGTCTCAGCCTCCCCAGTGCTGGGATTAAAGCCACCAACCTCCAGCTGAAGCAAGAGAATCTTAAGTGCAAGACCAGCCTGGGTTAGACAATGAAACCCTGTCTCTCCTGGCCCCTGCCCCCACCAAAAGTAACATACACATTAAAAAAAAAGAGAGAGAGAGAGAGCTAAACCAACCAATATGGAAATGATTAAATATGTCATGACACAGTCATAATGAATTTGATGTAACTATTGAAGTCATCCTTTTGAATCATTTTAGTGATTTGTTAAGATGCGTGTTGACTATTGGAAGTAAAAAGGTCAGGGTTCAAAGTGTCTACACGGTGCAGCCTTGCTGGAGGAGGCATTGCTATCTTTGAGATTTGGATGGCCTCAGCTCACTCCAGCTCTTCCTTTCTGCTTTGTGCTTGCAATTAAGGACGAGATTGCTCCGCTTCCTTATTCCTTTGGAACTGTAAGCGTAAATAAACTCTTTCTTCTGTAAGTCTTAGTATTTTATCACAGCAATAGAAAAGTTACTAACACAGAGGGCTTCATTGTTTAGCCCAGGCTGGCCTGCAGCTCACTATGTAGATCAGGCTGGCCTCCAACTCATGGAATTCCTGCTTCCACCTCCAGAGTGCTAGAATTATGGTGTACATCACCACACTGGCCTGTAGGAACAGAATTTTTTTTATTTTTTAGACTTATTTATTTTATATGTATCAATATTTTGCCTGCATGTACATATGTGTACCATGTGCATGCCTAGTACCCATGGAAATCAGAAGAGGGCATTGGATCCTCTGGAACTGGAGTCATGGATGGTTGTGAGCCACTGTGTAGGTTCTGGGGACTGTACCTGGGTCATCCACAAGAGCAACAAGTGTTCTTAACAGCTGAGCTGTCTATCTCCTCAGTCCTCAGGAACAGTATTTTAAAGTCCTTTCTGCTTCTGTAGCCTTGATTTCTGATGCGGGCCACTCCTGAGAGAGATGCCCCTGTATCTGCTAAGGGCTAGCCTTGCAACACACCGCTCTGTTGGTTTGGATTCGGGCCCTTCCTTGTCACTATGTGGATGAAGACCTCAGACAAATTATTTTGTTTCTCAGGGTGTGTGTGTGTGTGTGTGTGTGTGTGTGTGTGGTTTATAAAACACAGTATCTGGGTTAGATGATGTCTAGTAGTAGATGGTCATTCTGACAAACTCATTAAGCCAATGTGTTCATTGTGAATAAGACTCTACTGTATGTAAACAAAAGATTCTTATCCAAAGCCAAAGGAATGACTCTCTAATGGTAGAATTCACATCAGGCAGAGTCATCACACACAAATACTGACCTAACAGCTTTCTCTAGCACTAATACCTTGGAGGCATTATCTTACCTTTCCAAACAGAAAGGTGTTCGCCTGGAAGATGAAGACCTGTTCCTGAGTCTGGAGGTTCCTTCCTCGCCCCGCCTCCTCCCCAGTCCAAGCTGTCACTGCTATGGGCTTTCTTCTGTCCCCCTCCGTTCTCCTCCCTGTGGGTGAGCTGGGCTTATGTCATCGTGGTTCCCTGGGAGGCTGGTGGCGCAGTCACCACAGATTGGGGAAGGCAGGGGAGTGACTCATGCTGAAGGTCCAATGAATCAGACAGGGTGAGCCCGGGCAGGGGCTTCCCTCCAAGGAAGTGCAGAGGCCTTCGTTGTGCTGGGGAGAAAGGACCAACCTTGCCCCTTTCAGAGAACTCACTGAGGAACCCGTTTTCCAAACAAAAGGCCCTGTCTAAGCTCCAAGAAGGAGGAGCTGGCAGAAGCTCAGGATCAGACTTCCCCAGCCCTGGGTTTGAGCCCTGCTGGGGTTCCAAAGCAAATGTACTTCAAATGCCCTGAGGCTGTGAGGCCTTCAGTTTCCTGGAAAAAATAATATTTGCCTCCTGGAGTTGGGATATTGCAAATGAAACTAGCACTATTATTGAATACAGAACGGAAACCCTGTTGCCTTTGGATTCAAAACCTAGGAAGCTTTTGCCTGGTAACACAATAGTGTGGTCCCTGCCAGGTCTCCTGGCTGTAACGGTGAGGTGAAGGTCTGTTACAGACCCACAGAGGTACTAGCTGGGCCGAGTCCAACACAGGGACCCTAGGGTGGGTTGGGAGCCAGCTTGAAGGGCACCACAGTTCCCTCTTCTAGTCAGGCAGTCTCTTTCCTCCTAGACACCCCAGGGCCTTTCTCCTGCCTAGCGCGCCCTTCCCTCTTCAGAGTAAAAGAAGGAACATCAGGCATTCTAAGCCGATCATCACTATTTGTAATTTACTTTTGTTTCGGGTGCCAACAGGGAGTAGTAGGACCCTGTTAATGCTCTCAGGATATTTTGTTTTTCATCATAGGCATTAATTTTTACTTGAAAATATTGCATTAAAATATGACTTATACGGATGACTGAGTTATTTTGTACGCTCTTGAAACTCATCCCGGACTACTAAAATTTTTGGTTCTCCGATTTTTTTTTTCTTTCTTCCAGATGAGGATGGTGTGATGTGGAGTGTGTTTTGGGAACAGGACCCCGTAGACTGTACCAGCTGCCTTAAACTTGTTATTCTCCTGCCCTCTTAGCCCAATTCCACCCTATCTACACACTCCCCTGCCTCTGTTTCCTCCGCGCTCAGGGATGGCTCCCAGGTCTAGACACCGGTCCAGGGTCATTTCCTTGGGCGATCACCGCGGGTCGCGCGGGGTGGGGCTGGCAGGGCTGGCAGGCTGGGCACCTCGCGTGGGAAGGTCGGTGTAGAAGTCCCGACCGGGACAGACTTCCTGCCCGCGGGGCCCGAGGCTCTGGCACTGGCTCCGCGCCAGGGGGCGTCCCCGGGCGGGAGCGGCTTCCTGGGCGCGGGCAGCGCAGCCGGCGGATCGCGGGGACAGCTCACCTGGACCGGCGACATGGAGGACGGCGTGCTCAAGGAGGGCTTCCTCGTGAAGAGGGTGAGTGCGCTCCTGCCTCGCGCCCGCGTGGCCGTGGGGACTGCGGGGCGGGCGGTGGCTGGACGCGCGCGGACGAGCCTGGCTCCCGCTGGCCAGCCGGCCTGGTCCGCAAAGTCGGATCCCGCTTGGTTAGTGTGGTTCGGGGCTGGCTCTCGCGTGGACCCCTTAAAACAACTGACCGGGACGACTCAGGACGAGGCCAGGGGCAGGACCCGAGGTTAGCATGCTCAACCCTCGGTTCAGTCCAGTCCATAGCAACACACACACACACACACACACACACACACACACACACCCCAAACGCCTTATTAAAATATCGTAAAAGGTGTGGGGTGCAGGGTGGAGAGAGGATAGTTAAAGGGTACTTTTGGAAAGAAGGAATGACTGCTAACACTCTGTGGCAGAAGGTTAACCATGGTTGGCTGCAATTAAGAGTGTATTCTGAAATAGCTAAGAGGATTTTTGAATGATTCCCACACCAAGAAAACAATAGTAAATGTTTGAGATGATGGATGTGCCGGTTACTCTGATGCGATCGTTGCATACCGTACCTGTTATGATTGACATCACAATGTATGTACCCTATGAATATGCACATTCCCGTGTCAGTTAAAACGTAGTACGATATTGAAACAAAAAGCACCATGGATATGCCGTGTAGTTTGCAAGCTGGGAGGGAAGCAGCACCCCTCCTCGTGTGTGTGCGTGTGCGTGTGCGTGTGCGTGTGCGTGTGTGTGTGTGTGTGTTACCACTTAGCTGTCTGTCTTGTTATATCCTTCATCAGTCCTGCAGGATTGGCACCAGACGGCCTTTGCTATCACTTAGAGATGAGGAGAATGAGCAAGATGGAAGAGCTTGCTTAGAGTATTAGAGGGGACATGAATTCCGTCCTTAGTCCTTCCCCCGCCACCCACGTTGAAGAGTCCAACCCAGGGACTCTGGGACTCCCAGGCTGCCTAGGATCAAGGCCGAAAGTGAATAAAAGAAACTGGAGGGGAAACTTTTAGGGTTCAGTGGTATGACACTGCCTAGCCTGCAGGAAACCTTGGGTTTGATCCCTAACATCTAAAAACAATTTAACATTGATGTCAACACTGAACATTTATATTAGTATAATGGCCTAGCATACAGATACAAATCTGAGGCCGAGCCCCTGGGCTGTTCTGGGCTTACAGCCTTAGGAAGTAGGGTGAGGAAGGGTAGACGCTGTTCTCCTCACTGGCTCACCTGGTCACACCAGCCCCATAGCCCTGAAGGCTCAAGTCCCTTCCATAGTCTGTTTATACTTGGTATTGTTTCGAAGTGTGTGATACAGAAAGACAAGGTGTGCTTTGTTCAAAGCTATAAGCAAGGAAGACAGGAAGCTGATGCCAGATCAGTGGTCAGGCTGGTGTCCGTCTGTCCAGAATTCCATGCTCACTTTTTGTCTTTGTCCTTTAAATGTGAGATGGTTCATCCAGGTCAGAGTGCAAACCTGGGGGTGGGGGGAACTTCTGTCTCCCACTGTACTGCAGCCTGTGAGGTGACTGAGCCGGTGTGATGGGGGGGGTTGGCTGGTGATTGCTAGACAGTGGCAGGGGCCTGTGGAGGAGCGGCGTCACCTCCAGGTCAAATCCTCAGACAGGGTTTGTGGGCCTCTGCCTATTCCTGGGGTTACCTACGTGACTCCCCACTACCACTACGCTGTGGCGATAAGAGGACATGGAGGAGGAGTGCCCTGGTCTTCTGGGAGGCCTGGTTTAGAATCCGGAGAATCGGCACAGGGCAAGGCTGAGGCACCGATGCTCTTTCCAGCCCAATCCTGAGGCAAGTGGAAGTCACACTTGTTCCTGCCCAGTGAGGAAGCTGGCCCAAGACCCCTACTATGGTCACCAGCTGCTTCCACTGCCATGTAAACCCACTTTCCTCTCAAGTGGCTGCAGCAGTCCTGGCGCCCACTGGGGCAGTTACAGCGTCATGGTGGCCCTGGGTGGTTTAGGAGGGTTCACAGCTCTGGGATGGGGAAGGCTCGAGCTGGAAGCGAGATCTTAGACCAGCCATCTCCTCCTGGAAGGCTTAGCTGGAGGCAAGCAGGGGCATGATGGGTTTGGCTCCTAATCCTGCCCAAACAAGAAAGAACCAAACTCAAGGCAAAACACAGGGCCCTTGCCAGGCCTGGCTCTCAGAGGAGAGGAGCAGCTGAGTGGGGGTGGGGGTGGGGGTGGGGTGGAGGAATAGAGCTCTCTGGTGAGGAGAGTTGAAACATGGGTGCTGCTGCCAGCCGTGGATCTTGAGCAACATGTTGGCCTAGAGATACCAACTGCAGGACTCCAGGACTCCATCTCAAGGAAATTCAGTAAAAACCTTATCAATTTTGAGACAGGGTCTTATATAGTCTACTGTAGCCTCAAACTCTCTATGTATTTAAGGATGACCTTGAACTCTTTGATCTGCCTGCCTCCACCTCCCAAGTCCTGGTGTATAGGCATGTGCCATCATGTTCGGTTTATTCAGAGCTGAGGATTCAGTCTGGCTCGGCAAGCCCTCTACCAACTGAACTACATCCCAGCCCAACAAAATATTTTTTATGTTTGAAATATTCTAGAAGCCTGGTGTAGTGGCTCACACTTATATTTCAGCACTTGGGAGACTGAGAGAGGAGGATCCTTAGTTGGAGACTAGCCCAGGCTACATGGAGAGACCCTGTCTCAAATAAACAAATAACACAGTCAATCAACCAGACACTCCTGGAAGCTACCTATACATTTCCTGAGATAAATGATTACTTAAAGCATTGTTATACAGATGTAAAAATGCTTATGGTATTAAGTCTTCTTTCAAGACAGGGTTTCTCTGTGTAGCCCTGGCTGTCCTGGAACTTGCTCTGCAGACCAGGCTGGCCTTGAACTCCCAGAGATCTGCCTGCCTCTGCCTCTGGAGTGCTGGGATTAACAGCTACCACGCCTGGCTGTTTCCTCATCATTAAAGTTAGGGAGTACAGTATCTCCTTAAAGAGTGTCTCCAGCTGTTACATTCTGTGCTTCCTTAGTACAACCCTGAGATGCTGGCCCCCACCTCATGAGGTCCCTCCTGTCCGCTAAAGGAGCTGGCCTCGGCCCCAATCAGTGGCTTACAGACAAGAGGCCTGAAGAGAGAGGCTTCTCCATGCGTGGGGACCAGTGCCAAGGTGGAGGGGTTGGGGCTGGGTTTATTTGGACCTAGACTCACTTTGCCTGTGTGCACTGAGGCTTATCTATAGAGCGGGAACCCTGATGGTTTTCTTCGTGGTCTGAGATTATTCCAGAGGCCTCCTGGTGAGGTTCCCACCGCAGTCTTATGGTTTCATTCACTTGATCCAGCATACTGTGGTCAGAATGATTGTTTCGTTGAGGCAGGGTCTCACTGAGTAGCCTCAAATTTATGATCCTCCTGTCTCAGGTGCAATTACAGATTAATGTCCCACTAAGCCTGACCAGAGTGACTAATGATTGATTGATTTTTAGACAGTCTCTATTCCAGGCTGGCTTTGAACTCACTATGTAGCTGAGGATGGCTTTAAACTTCTGAATCCTCCTTCCTCCACCCCAGCACAGACTTGTGCCACCAGGCCTAGCTTATGTGGTGCTGGGGATTGAACCAAGGACTTTATTTGTGTTAGGCAAGCACTATCCCAGCTGGGTCGCATCCCCAACTCTAGAGTGACCTTTTCAACCTAAGACCCCGAACTTGTTATGCTTCTGCTTAAAATTCCTCATGGCCTGAATGTCAAACTGTGACGTAGAATAGGAGACCTTTACCTACCAGGAACCCATCACTTCCTCATCCCTGCCCAGCCGGACCCAGTGCCCAAGTCATGTAGGGCCATGGAGGTGCTCCCAAAGAGGAAGCAGTGCAATGGTTTTGGTGCTGGGACGAACACCTAAGACCTCACGAGGACTAGGCAAGGGCTCCACCGCCAGGCTACATCCCAAGCCCGACCGTGGTTTCGTGCTCACTCTCGCCTGCCTGCCTGCCTTCCTCATCTGCCCAACCTAAATAGCTCATCAAGATTTTTTGCCTATTTGAATTTAATTTTTTTTTTACCATTATAAAAATAACACATCCTTTCTGGGTAGTATAATACATGCCCACAATCCCAGAACTCAGAATGCTGAGGCTGGAGGATCACAGGTCCAAATCTAGCCTGGGCAAGACCCTGCTGTCCTTCCAAAACAAAACCAGAATGTTTTAGAGAGTACAATGCAATGGTGGAGTGCTTGCATCTCCGAGACGCTGGGTTGATTTCCACCACCACACACCCACAAAAGAATCATTTATGATAATTTTTAGAATTATATTATGAGGAGCTGGGGATATAGTAAGTTCACAGAGTACTCACCTTGCACACGTGATGTCTTGGATTCAGTCCCTAGCTATATACATATGCACACACACTACATTTTCTTTTTAAAATTTTATTTATTTTTGGAGACAGGGACCTGGCTGGCCTGGGATGCTCTAGGTAGACCAGGCTGGTTTTAAACTCACAGAGATCTGCCTGTCTGCTTCAGGAGAGCTGGGATTAAAGCTGTGCACTATCTTGCCTGGGGCAGGAGAATCACAAGTTCCAGGCCAGCCTGGATTACACAGTTAGACCTTGTCTAAGTACATACATACATACATACCCTGTCTAAATACATATATATATATATATATATATATATATATATATATATATACATATATACATACCCTGTCTAAATACATACATACATACCCTGTCTACATACATACATACATAATACCCTGTCTAAATGCATACATACATACATACCTTGTCTAAATGCACACATACATACCCTGTCTACATACATACATATATACTTACATACCCTGTCTAAATGCATACATACAGACATGTATATATGCACACAGACATAGTAAAGGTGGAAAGACTGTATGGAATTAGCAAGTGTTAACAATGGCTGTCTTGTACTAAAAGAAGTACAGGTGAATGATCTTTCTTTATATTTTGCAGTTTCTCTCAAGCTTTTTGAACTGGTTCTGGGATGTATAGCTCAGAGGCAAAACACTTGTCTCTCATGCCAGAGGGCCTGGGTTTGATCATACCACTGGTTGGGGAGATTTATAGACAAGCAAAGGCCAATAGCAAATAAAAGCTCAAGGTCAAAGGCTTTTGCTTCCAACTCAGAAGAGATGAGCGAAGGAGAGCCCGACAAAATCCCTGCTCCCCCCCCCCCCTTCACCGAACATTGTCTCTCAGCCCACGCTGCTCCCCCAAGCCATGGGCTTCCTCTCCGTGGTGCAGTATCCTCCCCTGCATCACCTCACCACCGGGATTTCCTGTCTGTCTGTCTGTCTGTCCATAGGGGCACATTGTCCACAACTGGAAGGCACGATGGTTTATCCTTCGGCAGAACACGCTCCTGTATTACAAGCTGGAAGGTGGCCGGCGAGTGACCCCACCCAAGGGAAGGATCCTTCTGGACGGCTGCACCATCACCTGCCCCTGCCTGGAGTATGAAAACCGGCCGGTACGTGAGCATCCTGAGGCCTGGCCCCCCGAGCTAGCCACCTTGCCCCTTCGTTATCATTGAATGATTTGGGTTCAAATCCTGGCTGTCTCACGAACAGGGCAAATAGTTAAACCTCTTTCAGCTCTCATTCATCATCTGTAAAAATGGGGATAAAATAATTATGTGACAATGTTCCACATGTGGTGGTGCGGGTTGAGAAAGTGACGATCTGTTAAAAACACCCGGAGTTCTAGGAGGCAGGCACTCATTCAAAACAAAACCAGAAACTAAAAATTAACAGGAGCAGAGACTGGAAGGAGACACTGGATGTTAGCAACGGTGGTCTCTGAGAGCAGAGGTATAGGTGAGCTTTTCTTTACTCTTTGCAGTTTCCTTCAAGATCTATGACCATAATTTAGGGGGCATAAAATGTGAGAAAATATGCTGCCTTGGGGTTCAGTATGATGGCTTACAATCCTTGAGGGGTGTATGTTCCAGAAGTGATGGATGGCTTTGACCCTACATCAGAAAAAAAAAAAAAAAGTCAGGGTCCAGGTGTGGTGGCTTAATCCCAGCACTTGGGAGACAGAGAGGCAGGCTCTTGTGAGTTCAAGACCAACCTTGTCTATATAATGAGTTCCAGGGTAGCCAGGGCTGCCGGTGTACCCTTTCTATAAAAAAAAAAAATCAATAAATAAGGAGAGAGGGAGGAAGGGAGGGAGGGAGGGAGGGAGGGAGGGAGAGAGAGAGAGAGAGAGAGAGAGAGAGAGAGAGAGAGAGAGAGAGAGAGAAATTAATGGAGCCAAGAGGTGGCTTAGCTGTTGACAGCATTTACTGCTCTTGTAGAAATTTGGTTCGTAGCCTTCCTATCAGACAGCACATAACTGCTGTAACTCTAGTACCTGTAAGTACAGTTCCAGGGCATCTAGTGCCCTCTGGCCTCTATAGGCACCTACGAGCATGTGGTGCACATAAACACACACACACACACACACACACACACACACACACACACACACACACACACTGGGGGGGCCCGGGGGAAGGAGACAGAGACAGAGAGAGACATCTATTTTTTAAATACAGGGGCTGGGAATGTACTACTCAGTGGTAGACACTTGTCAAGGGTTCTACTCACCAGCAACACATGGTGATGGAAAACATCTGGAGTCCCAGATGCTGCTGTAAATATGAGCTGCAGAGGAGGGCACTGCTGTGGTTGCCTAGGTCAAGTACAGCCTCAGGAATAGAGATCCTGGGGGTGAAGGCCTGCCAATGTGGCCAGAAGGGAACACTCACTGACGGAGTGACCGGAGGTTGTCTGGGACCAGATGGAGGTAATGGGGAGCTACTGAAGGTTCTGAGTGAGAGAAGGGGCTGCTAAAAATCTTTTCAGATGCTGGGCATCATAGTAGCTCACACTTGTAATTCCAACACTCAGGAGGCTGAGGCTGGAAGAGTGTCAGAGCTCAGGAATTTAAGGACAGCCTAGACAACATAGTGAGATGCTATCTCAAACAGGCAACAAAGGAAATAATTCGGCCAAAACTGGGCATGGAGTTGGGTAGTGCACACTTTTAACTCCAGCACTTGGGAGGCAGAGGCAGGAGGATCTCTGTGAGTTCGAGGCCAGCCTGGTCTATAGAGTAAGTTCCAGGATGGCCAGGGCTACACAGAGAAACTTCGTCTTGGAAAACCAAAAATAAATAAAGAAAAACTTTGGATATGGGGTAGAGAAAGTTGACTTTATTTCAGAGACTTATAATACTGGTATATGTAAATGACCTCACTCTCCAAAAGACTGATACAACATCTAGGTACATACAGATAGCTTATGTTTGTTGAATTAATCTCAGACAAAGAAGAAAGATTGACAGATATGTCAGATGGTTCTGAAGAGGAAATCCTGGTGTCTTCAGTGGTACTGTGGGTATCAGTGAATGAAGCCGTGAACTCATAGGTTACATTCTCAGTCTGGTGCCCCTTAGTACTCGTTAGGAAGAATGGGGAGTCTTGTCACTTATATGAGCATTTGTAGTATTTGCTTGGTTATTTTGGGTTGAAAAGGATTGAGAACAACCAACAGGTTCTGTAGGAGCAAGTCATAAAATATGTGTGTGTGTCTGTGTGTGTGTGTGTGTGTGTGTATGTACGCGCTACTGAGTGTGTTTGGGTGTCACTTATCATTTCTAGTCTCTCTTGAAACTCTTTTCATTAAAACGGTGAACTGCAGCTGGACAGTAATGAGTTCAAATCAATCTTCCATGATGCCGGTGAGCGGATGCTAACTTGGTGCAGTGTCTCCCTAATATTCCTTGGGACAGCAAGTCAGCCATGACTTACTTTCATGTTTTCTATTGCTTTAAATGAAAGATATTTATAAATTTATATTTATGTATAAATATAAAGACATATTTATAAGTCGAAAGCAAAACCAGCTGTTTGTGAACATGCTGGTGACCACGGTCAGAATGAACGTGTCTTAGAGAGGCCCCTGGCTGGGATCCCCATCACTGAAGGCGAACACTGCGGAGGCAGTGGGTCTAATCTGCTCATAACATTTAATAGTGCCAACATGTGCCATTCCGCAGTTGGTGTAAGAAAGCCTCCAGGTGTCCAGCTAGAGGATAGAGAAGTGGCCCACGAGACTGGCCACTGTGTCATCGGCGGCTCAGAGCCCTCGCACTCAGAGGTTGTCGGGAGTGCGGTACTTCTCTCTCCGCCCAGTCCTGGAGCAGAACGTTCCATCCTGGGTGGGGGTCTCTGAGAATGCTGACCCAGGGCTGAGCATGCAGCAGAGGGCAAATCTTTGGGGAAGGAGTCGAAACTGTGTCACATGAAGAACGAGTGGATGGCTTGGTGGTGTTTGGACTAGAGACAGGGACGGAGTGGGGCTTTGCTAGCATTCCTGTAGGGGTAGAAGGCAGCGTCATATTCTTACAGGTGGAGAGGCTGCAGCTCAGCGAGGTTCCCGAGGTTGCCTGGCATTCCTAGCTAAGTGGCAGAGCTGAGGTTTGTGTGGCAGCTCCATCTGACTGCAGAGCCTGGGAGATTCCCTCTTCAGAGGGGCTGTGATAGGAAGTGAGGCTGTGCATCTGGAAGGAGGAGTCAGAGCCACAGTGTTGGGAACCACTCTGCATTGTCTGTGCAGAAGGGAAAGGCTGCTTTAGGAGGCCATGAGCTCCTTGTCTCGGGTATATCCAAATCAATCTGTACAGCCCCACCTGCTGAGGGTGAGCAGGGCTGGGCATCAGGCATCCCTGGATACATGGCCCCCGGCATCCTCTCTGGCCCTATCATTCCTGCGGCCAGCATTCCCTTGCCCAGTTCTCCTCTGAGTATTAGTTTGTCTGGTTGTCTCTTCTCACAGCTCCTCATTAAGCTGAAGACCCGAACTTCCACTGAGTACTTCCTGGAGGCCTGTTCTCGAGAGGAGAGGGACTCCTGGGCCTTTGAGATAACGGGAGCTATCCACGCAGGACAGCCGGGGAAGGTCCAGCAACTCCACACACAGAAAAACTCCTTCAAGTTGCCCCCCCACATCAGCCTGCAGTGAGTGCTCCACCTGCCCGCCCCTGACTCTGTCTGGCCTCCCTACGGCCTTGCCTGTCTGTTTAGTGGCGCGGTGTTGGGGGGGGGCACCCTATGGTACAACACAGGTTTGGCTAGTCCACCTTTGTGCTTCAGGGCCAACGGTTTGCTCTATCCTGCTTATGTGGGTTGACTGCCTGGAACTTGCCATGTTCAATGCCTCGCTCCTATGTAACTTTTAGGGCCTCTACCAAGTCATAATACCTCAGTGAACGAAGTAAAGACCACCATTGCATTTTAGGAGGAGTGCTTGGAAGTATGTGACAGGTCTCATTTGCAGTTCAGTGGCAGGTAATGGCTGCCTTATTGATTGAAGGGATTCCTCATTCAACCATCTAAGAAATCATTGAGTACCTCGCAGATATGTACAATTATTATGTGTTAACTTTAAAAAGAAAAGGGAGACATTTATTGAGTGCCTATTGAATATCATGCATTGTGCCTGGTGCTCAGTGGAGGTAAGCGGTAATAAACAAGGTCTCAAGGGCCGTTCACCCCAGGGACATACATAGAGATCTTTCATTGGTGTCAGCAATTGTCACATCAGGCAGAGGGAAGGCCAGTCAGTGGTGTTGGTGATACTGTGCCACAGAGATGTATGAAAGGTGTTTCCATCATGGAAATGCCCCATAGCCTCCCAGGCAGCCGCACTGTTACGGCCATCCTAGATGGGATGCGAGTCTGTTCCTGAACTCATACAGCTCCACACCAGCCTCTGAAGTCCAGTGTGTGCACCGTCAACACAGCTGTTAAGCCAGGGTGAGTGCAGGCAGGAGCAGCCGATAGGGTGGATTCAGAAAGGGGAGCTACAGAGCTGGAGGAGTTCAGACGACGTGGAGCAGATCGTGGTGAGCTGCGAGGGTTCCTGTACACTCTGGGTTTTAAGCGGTCACAATTGTTTAGCTTTATGTCCACAGTAATAGTTGCCCAGTGTGGAAATAGTTGAACATTTAGATGACCAAGAAGAGGAGTGTCTGAAAACCATGGGCATTGGATTTTGATTTATAACAAAAGCCCATTTCCGTGGTGTGTGTCTCATCATCTGTCCCTCGCTTTACATCATGAACTGTCTTCGTGGTTTATCTCACGATTCTTGGGGCCTCCCTGGAGCAGACAGTGTGAGCAGGGGCCCTTCTTTGCCTTCCTTCTGTGCAGTCGAATCGTGGACAAGATGCATGACAGCAGTAGTGGAATCCGGCCGTGTCCCAACATGGAGCAGGGGAGTACCTACAAGAAGACCTTCCTGGGTGAGCCTGTCTGTCCCCTGGCCAGGTTGGAGACCAGGCACATGGTGACTGGAGCTCATCCAATTGCTTAACCAGCTTCTCACGGGGACAGAGCTGTCTCCTAGGAAGTGGGATAGCCTGTGAGGGCCACCTGTGGGTATGGCTACAGCTCTGCGCATTGGATGTGAGCATCAGGCTGCTCTTAGGTCGAACCTGAGGCTTCTCAGGAGGTCAAGGTCAATGAGGTACTGACCAAGCCCCCTGAGTAGGCTAGCTACCCCATGGTCTGACAGGTGCTTGCCCTTGTGCTAACACAGGCTCCTCCTTGGTGGACTGGCTCATCTCCAGCAGCTTCGCAGCCAGCCGTCTGGAGGGAGTGACCCTGGCCTCCATGCTCATGGAAGAGAACTTCCTCAGGCCGGTAGGGGTCCGGAGCATGGGAGCTATTCGCTCTGGGGATCTGGCCGAGCAGTTTCTGGATGACTCCACAGCCCTGTACACTTTTGTAAGTTAGAGGTTGGGCTCTTCTTGCCACTAGGGGAGAGGGAAGGGAGTGGCTAGGGTGGGAGTTGGGAGTCTGGAGCCCTAGGGAAGGCCCAGAGTATGGGGGACAGTTTCATCCCGAGGAGACAAGCGACTTTGGTGTTGAGGAATTCTCTTTGCTTTGCAGCCACCATGGCCTGGGCCTGGGGTTCCTTTGTAAGAAGCCCTTGTCTTTCTCTTTCCACTAGGCTGAAAGCTACAAGAGGAAGGTAAGCCCCAAGGAAGAGGTCAGTCTCAGCACCATGGAGTTAAGTGGCACGGTGGTCAAACAAGGTTACCTATCCAAGCAGGTATGGCTGCCTCGAGCAGGGGGCAATGTATAGTTGTCACACTTGAAGGAGGCAGGAATGAGCCCAGAGGATGCTGGAGTACATTATTAGCAGGATCCACAGAAACAGGACCTCCCCTCCCCAGCCACAAGAGGCAAATCAAAGCCCCACCCATGCTCGTTCTCACATACACGTACCAGACCCCAGAACTGTTTTGAAAACATACGCACACAAGTAACTGTCACATTAAAAAGAAACTTCTATATTATTGCCCGGTTTCATATTCGTCGCCTGCCTGGTGAACATTAGGATCCATCTGCTCTTATTTACCTTAGAGGCAATGGTCTACCTCAAGGGTCTGCTGCTGCTGGGCCTGACAGGGACACTGACTGAGGGAAGAACTGAGGTCCCCACAGGAATGGAAGAGGGGATGAGGGAGACCCTAGATGCTAAGGAAGGTTTATGATCTCGGGTGTACGTTCAGATAAGTTTCTTTCACACTCTGCTGCACACACAGATTAATACCTGACTATTTAGATTTTACCATATACTGTATCATAGACTGTAACTGATCCTGTTTCTGATTTAGAATGTTACATTGGTTTCCTCTGTGTGTACACATAAAATGCACAAATATACATGTAGCTATAGGGTTGTTTTTGGACCAAATTGATCCTTAAAATGTTGGTGACCTCGGGTGCAATGTGACCTGTGAACTGATGATCCAGTTGACATTTGTCCTGTCCTCCTTTAAAATTAATTAAAAATTATACAATATTATTAGAAATATTTTTGTGCAAATGGGTGTTTTGTCTGCGTGTATGTGTATGCAATACCTATAGAGACCAGAAGAGGGAATCTTCTGGAACTGGTGTTACAGATGGTTGTGAGCCACCATGTGGGTGCTGGGAACTGAACCTGTGTCCTCTTCAAGAGCAGCAAATGCTCTTAACCAATGAGCCACCTCTCCAGCCCACTCACCTCTTTGTTGCTGAGCATTGAACTCAGGGTCTTGTGGTTGCTTGGTTAACAACCCTACCACTGAGCCGCAGCCTCCGCCCCTTAGTCCGTTCGTTCCTGAGTGTTGGGGTGAGGTGTCCCCTTTCTGTCGGTGCTGACTCGTAGCTCTCTGTCAACTAATGTGCTGTTTTTGCTGAGGCGCCACTAAGCAGGGATCGTGTCACTGTAATCCTTGAGTTTTCTTGCAAACTGTCCTTAGAATGTAGTCCCATTGGAGCGGCCTAGCTTGTTGGGGTTTTGTGAAATGGATACATGGAAAAGGGCAGGAAATGTAGAGCTGTGACCAACATGAATCCTTTCCTTCCTACAGGGGCATAAGAGGAAAAACTGGAAGGTGCGCCGATTTGTTCTGAGGAAGGACCCAGCTTTCCTGCATTACTATGACCCTTCCAAAGTGAGTGACCCATGCATGACCCTTCCAAAGTGAGTGACCCATGACCCTTCCAATGTGAGTGAACCATGACCCTTCCAAAGTGAGTGACCCATGACCCTTCCAAAGTGAGTGACCCATGACCCTTCCAAAGTGAGTGACCCATGACCCTTCCAAAGTGAGTGACCCATGACCCTTCCAAAGTGAGTGACCCATGACCCTTGGGGCTGTGCTGCTTCCAGAGTCTGAAGCCGAGTGGGCAGCTGCTGGGTGCCCTCTCTCACATCCCCCATGGTTCCTTGCAGGCCGCACTGCTCTGTCGTGTAGTTGTCTGCCCAGGGGAGGGTCTTCTGGGCCCACTTCCTCTGAGAGGGAGGACCTTCATTATGCTGAGAAAAAGCACCTTTTACTTTCCCCAAAGCCTGCTCTGTGGGCAAGGGGAGTGAGGGAGACTCCAACACGGTGCTCCCAGCCTCTTTACCCCTTTTCATCCAACTAGCCTACAAATTCTGTCTCCCCCAACTTCCTGTTTTCACATAAAAAAATTTCTTTTTATTGTATTTAGTTTACACATTACTTTTTGAGCCAAGAGTTGCTGCTCCACGTTTCTGATAAATACCACCTCATACCGAGTCAATATAATTCTAATCAAGAGAAAAATGGCTCTCTAGGTGGGGTGTTCAGCCTTGTCTTTGATATGAATTTCAGTCGGGACCCCTCAGCCTCATGGAGGAACCCCCTCATTCCCTGCAAAGCACAAAGAGGTTTAAGGCCTAGGCAGAGGGCTGAAAGGAGAGCTGATTGGGGGACCAGACCCTTGGGCCTCCAAAAGGCACCCATTGACCTCTCTGTGGGTCCTAGTGGTGTTGCTACCATGGCCAAATCCTTCTTTATTTTATTTTTAAAGACAGCGTATCACATAGCCCTGGCTGGCCTCGAACTCACTATATAGCCAAGGATGAACTTGAAGGCTGGGATTACAGGCATGTGCCGTCATCCCAGATTGAACCCAAAACTCTGTGTAGGCTAAACAAGCATGCTAACAAACTGAGCTGCAGCCCCAGCCACACAAATCCTTTCTAAAACTTGGGAAATATCAACAAATGTATGAGCACATTTTGCATTTAACTCTTTATTTATCTAACCTCAACTACTTTGTGCCCTTGATGAGTCCAGGGCCTTTTGCTATTCATTTGCTCCCACACTTTGCTTTTAACCCTTCTGTTGCTGGGCTAAATCTATCCCAGTACCCAAGACCTGCTTCTCAAGGCCAATTCAGTCCCTGCTTGAGACTGCCTGCTGTAGATTCCTGCAGTGCTGGGCCTCTTCTTACTGGTATCTAAGTCAACACTTCTGCATTGTTACTCAACTGCTTTAGTTTTCCTTTGCTGGAGCCACATTTAGTAGTGATTAACAGAAGGAACCAAGGGCTGAGGCTCCCGGTGTGTGAGGTTGCTCTTTAACCATCCAGATATCATAAAGCCATCCTGTTTCATGCTAAGCACATGATTAGAGACTTACATAACAATGTCCAATGTGCGGGGAAAACCCATCATAACCGTATATTGTTGACAAAGGTTAAGGGAGCCAGTGCAGACTTCTGGTAGAGTGTCAGATGAGACTGTTGTTCAACTCTGCCAGACCTGGTAATTTGGTGACAGTGCTGCTGCTGGCCATGAACCAGGCCCAAACTGCCTCACTGGTACAAGTTACTTGCCCAAGTTCAGCCACATCTATTCAGACAATTTGGAGTGGTTTTAGACATGGTCTGGCGGGTCAGTTACAGAAGAGGATATGTCTTCTTTTTTTGTATGTTCATGGAATCAATCTCTTCCTCCACAGGAAGAGAACAGGCCAGTAGGTGGGTTTTCTCTTCGTGGGTCCCTTGTGTCTGCTCTGGAGGATAATGGTGTTCCTACTGGTAAGGTACAGCTTCAGCTCTGGCCTAAAGATCTCTGGGACCTTCATCTGCATGTCATTAATACCTCTGAGGGGCAAGGTGGGGGGAGCCTGAGCTCTGAGAATCAAGTGGGCCTTTCCTCAATGAGATCATGGTATGATTTTTGAAGTCCATTTTAAAAACAAAGGAAAGCACGATATGGAATGAATGTTCTTGTGTTTTAAGAATACAACTGAATAAGCCTTATTTTTTATATTCTGTTTCTGTGCTGATGGCCCATAAGCTTCCACCTAAGTTATAGCTAAGAGCCACAGTGTTTTCATGTTAATAACATGCTTTTATTTTCTATTTACACTGATTTTACAGTCCCCAGTAGGAAGGTCATATCATTTCTATCTTGTGGATGTAGCAATTGAGGCTCAAAGTCAATTCGAAGCAATTTTTTTTAAAAAAACATAAATGGGATTCTTTGATGTAAATGAAACTGTAGGTCTATGGGTAACACAGAGGCAGGCAAGCAAGCAAGCTGCAAATGTTTGGAATAACCACTGGTAGGCCATATGGTTGTAGGGAGTAGAAATACTCGATGCTCAGCTTCAAGCTGGAAGTTGACACGGATATTCAATACTTTTTTCCCCTTTGTAGGAGTTAAAGGGAATGTCCAAGGAAACCTCTTCAAAGTGATTACGAAGGATGACACACACTATTATATCCAGGCCAGCAGCAAGGCTGAGCGAGCGGAGTGGATTGAAGCTATCAAGAAGCTAACATGACCTAAGGGAACAAACAGGACCAGAGTCCTCATTCATATCAGCTGATACAGATGGGACTTCATGGAGAACTGGAGTACCAGACAGACATTGGGCTTAGGATATGGCTCAGTGGTAGAGGACCTGCCTGAGGCCCTAGTTCAATTCTTGGAAAAGACTTTAACATTATCCATTTTGTACTGCTTTGGAGTGAGACTGCTCAAGATGGTTCCTCAAATGACAATGGTGGCAAGACTTCCTTCCGTCTTCTGATTACCAACCTGAAAAAACTGGAATCGCTGTTAGGTGACAGCATCTTGACTTTTGCTCTTCAAGACAGAAATCTAGGCAGTGGTGGCACAAGCCTTTAATCCCAACACTTGCCAGGCAGAGGCAGGTGGATCTCTGTGAGTTCAAGGCCAGCCTGGCCTGCAGAGTGAGTTCCAGGACAGCCAGGGCTACACAGAGAAACCCTGTCTCGAAAAGCCGCGCACACACACACACACACACACATACACACAGAGAAATCTGGCTTTGGGGACTATAGTAGTATGTATCCCTTTGTTGGAACACTAACCTGGGCTTTGCTATATTGAATACTCTAGTCTCAAGATACTCTCTTAAGCGATTTCAACAACTCACATTTCTGGAATTAATAAAAAACTGACATGTGTTTTATAGTTCTTGTGCAGTTTTATGTCCCCACAGGTTTACTCCCTCTAAGGTCCTATGTATTACAGAAAATTATGGGAAAACCTCAAGTGACCTGTCACTAGGATGACATGTCTCACTTTGAAGTGGGGACGCTGGCAAACTGCTGACTGTTGGCTTTGCAGAGAAAGACAGCAAATAACACAAGTCACACAGGTCACAGACTCGCCTGAAGAAATTTGTCACAGACATTAAAAAAAAAAAAGCATAAATACAGCTTTTCTATACAAAATGGACATTTAGAAAGATGTGGAGCAGGAGCCCTCTAAACAACAAAGATACAAATGGCAAAAGTTAAATCAAGGCATAAGACTGATCTGAAAATGAACATTAACTGAAATAAGTGAACTTCCCCATTTGGAAGGTTAACCTCTAGTGAAAAGTCTGTATCATACAGTGTTTTTATAAACATTTTTATTAAGTTTATACAGTGATCTGGCACAAGTTATGGCTAGCATTCTTGCCAAGGACAATGGCTTGGACTTTGATAAAATACATAACTTACATTTAAGGGGAATGGATATTTCTAAAGTGCCTAAGTAAAAACTTCTCTTAAAATAGATTTCCTCTTAATGTCTGGAATCCCTGACCCTGAATAGCCAGGAATCCCAAGAGCATGTTTTCCCTTTATCCTTACTTTGTAAGAGACTGCCTTTTCAAGCACCAGTTCTTTCCTTTGGCATCTTTCCAGGTTGAATGAACCCAGAATTGCTTTTAGGATATTGACAGGTGCTTATTTGAATTAAGCTGCATTTGGTTTGATAGCTTTCTGCTTCCAAACTGACACAGCCCTACTTCCCAGGCCTACGGGTGAGACAAGGATTCTCAAGGGTTCTGAAACAGGTAATGTCAGCTCCAGACACAGCAGTAAAGCTGGCAAGGTACTACAACTTCTTTCATCCCTACTCACGTTAATTGTTCTTGATGCAGAACAAAAACAAAGACCAAAAAAAAAAAAAAAAAAAAAAAAAAAAAAAGGCTGGTGTATGCAGCTGAATGGTAACTTCTGCTCAGTGGTGCAGAGATTGGCACATCTCCGCAGCTCATTAAGAACTTGAACATCTCCAAAAAACAAACCCAAAACCCTAAAACTTGAACATACTCATGAGAATTGGTGTTTGACTATAAAACTGATATAAAGGCAGTTTCAATGTTTCTTTTTAGTCAGTTTCAACTGACTAATGTAGGAAGCTTCAATATTGCTCATTTTGTTGTATGGATTAATGACTGTATGACTGTAATCAAAGGCAGATGAGGGAAAACAGAACGGTTAGTATTTTTCATGTAAAGGCTTTGGTGGGGAAAAAAATCAAGATATGGTAAGTTGTTCTCTTCGTTGTCCATTCTGTTCAGTCTCCCATGGCTGGGTAAGTATTCCAGGCCTCACATATCTTAGTTCGTTCTTTCCATCATGGTGCTAATGAAGGACTGACCTTTCCCCTGGCTAGGGTCACCATTTTACACAATTGTAGGACGTATCCAAAGAGCCCAGATGGGATCACAATCATCATGGAGCCCAGCTATATTTAATGTTTGGTTTTGAGACAGAGTTTCTCTGTGTAGTCTTCTGTTCTAGACCTTGTTCTATAGAAGACCAGGCTGGTCTAGGGGTACGCTACCATGCCTGGCTTAATTTTTTTTTTTTAAATATAAAAATTTTCAGTAAACAATTGCCAGGAAAAGGGCACTTGCTATATTTGATAATACATTTTTTCTTCTGTGGTTAATGGGGATTGATCCCAGGGTCTTGACATGCTAGGAACACACTAGGCTAACTCAACTATATTCCTAAATCATTAGAGCAGTTGCCCAAACTGGTCTCTAATTTGTAGTATTCCTGTGTCTCTGAAACAGCTGAGATTATAGCTGTCACTGAAGCTTTGATAATATACCTCCATGTGACAGTCTTACTATGCAGTCTTGGATGGCCTGTAACTTGATATATAGACCAGCCAGGCTTTCAACTCAGAGATCTGCCTGAGTTTAATCTCTGCTGGGATTAAAGGTGAACACTACCATACTTGGCCCTAAACTTGTTTCTTGATGCTTTTAGAGCAGAGGTTCTCAACCTGTGGGTTGTGACCCCTTTGAGGGTCAAATGGCTCTTTCATGAGGGTTGTCCAAGACCATCGAAAACCAGAAATATTTTCATTATGATTCATAACAGTAACAAACCTACAGTTATGAAGTAGCAATAAAAATAATGCCAGTAACATGGTAATGCCCACTGGCAAGCACAATTCCTTGGAAATGGGTTACCTGAGGTTAGACCATTAGATTTAAAAAGCTAATAAATAGACTACTATGTTGAACAAAGGGACAAACTTTCATAAGTGGCAAAGTATCTCCCCAACATTAATTTCCAATCCTTTTGAGACACAGGTCTGCAATGGTTGCCCAAGCTGATCAATGATTCTAGGCTCAAGGACTCTTTCCACCTCAGCTTTCCAAGTACTAGAGTCATAAGCACATGCTACCGTACCCAACTCTAGAGCCCTTACTATTTAGTCTAGGCCTAGATTGACTAGGTTTTTAAGTTTGCCTACAGATAATAAATAGTACAAGTATCCTAAGACCAGCATGCCAAACTAAATGATTTCTACATTTGACTACTGTAGCTGTAACTTCATGTGTTACTTGTGAAACTTGTTTTGCACGTCAACCTTTAAAGTTAACTAGTCTGTGAAGGTAAAAATAGGAACATTAAAAAAAGTTTGTGTTAAATCAGATCCTGGTATATATAAAAAGATCTAGGTAGCACCTAGCAGATAAAGAGGAAAATGTCCCCTTCGGTTGGGTGATGCTGTTCAAAGAAACTACATCAAAGCAGCAGCACTTTACAAAAACCCTTAGCATTATGAATTTAAGGTAAGTAGTTTAGTATGTACCAAAGGGAATAGGTGTGATGACTTCTCTCATACAAGTTGTCATTGGTCTCAAACAGGTTAACAGCCACGTAATTCTTTAATTGAATTTCAAGATTGTTCTCTACTCAGGACCAAATTCACTATGGTTAAATTTCCAACTGCTTTACTATACTTTTTTTTTCAGAGTCTTACTGCAAAGGTCACTTATTACTTGCCCTTTTACTTCTCACATAGAAAGATAATCAGGGTCTGAGCATTCAGACTGGCTTTCACTGCTGACAAGAAGGAAGAAGCCTAAAGTTAAATATCCCAGAAATTTATTTGAATTTTCTTGAATACATTTTATATAGAAAGTTTGGACTGTTTATGTTGGGTGCCCCTGGTAAATCTCACGGAGGCACTGAACCATAATAGTGCCAATCCAGAGACATCAAAATGGAAACCGAAAGCCCCATTTTAGGACTGCTCTTTAAGATCTGTCTCCGGTCAAATCAAGCCACTCCCTTAAAAATGCGTGAGGTGTTAGAGCATCTACGTGAAAACAGCTGACATGAGGGAGGGCATTTAGATTCTTGTGTTGAATACTTAAATACTTGGAAATAAAAATATTCAGCTTTGAAGTTTTCAATACTGGAAAACTTTCAAGTCTAGGGTTTACAGCCAGGAAGGCTGCATCATATTCCTTAAATTGGACTGATTTCCACAAGGCTAGTCTTCAGCTTTGGCCTCCATTTCTTCTGCATCATCATCTCCATCTACTTCTGCATTTTCTCTCTCAAGCCGTTCCAGCTGCCTTGCAAGTTCAGTCTCATCTGTATCTGTGACCACTTTGGGCTGTGGAAGAGGCATAATTTCAAAATGAAATAAACAGCAGAGCAGATTGGATTTCAATAGTATCACTCTTAAAGTTTAAAATTTAACTTTATGTCTACTAATTTAGTCATACCCTTGTTGACTTACCAGTGAATAAGTTCTATTAGCTGAAAGTTGAAGTACAAGACAAGATGGTACAAGGAAAGAGTGCACACTCCAGTGGAATAGTACTTTCTGTCATTTTAATAAGCTAAACTGAAAACATGAATTCAGTGATCACAGCAGAGAACTACCATTGTTCTGTTTTTTTTTTTTTTTTTAAAATAGATATTCTGGGCTCAAGATAAATTATTATTCTTCCTCAGAGAAGGATTCATTCTAGACACACAGATAAACAGCATATGGATATTAGGTTCTATTTATATTGAGATGAGGGAAGACAAGATTACTCTGTTTGAGACAGGGCCTCCTTATATACATGAAGCCTCCTCCTGCTTCTGCCTCCCAGTGTTGAAATTAGGTTTGCATCACTATGCCTAGCAAATTTTGCACTGTCTGTTTTTCTCCCTGAGGGGGAAAACCCTAATACCACTGGCTCAAACGTCTGTCCAACTATATGACAGTCTAGTGCTAATAGTTCTTATTACCAACAAAACCCCTTTTAGGAATACTCGGTATCAATGATGACTTTATTATACTTAATACTTTTTTATTTCCAACTATATCTGACTGGGCAGGTAGCCTCAGGATGCTGACAAGGTTGGCTCTGAACTTTAGGCAATCATCCTGGTCTCAGTTTCCCATTATAATCAACTCATCTGATACAACAAGAACGCCTTTACTTATTTATGTGTGTGGGAATGCAGGCCATGGTGTGCTTTTGAAGTTGAGAAGACAACTCTTGGGAGTTAGTTTTCTTCTTCTAACAAATTCTGGTCATCAATCAGGCTTGGCAGCAAGGGCCTTTTACCTGCTGAGCCATTTTGCGGCCCACATGTGACATTTTAAAGAGCACAAAGAGGCTGAAAAGGTAGCTGAGTGGGTGAAGTGCTTTCTGCACAGGTATGAGGACCAATGTTCAAACCCTAGCAGGCACACAAAGGGCGGGACACAGTGCTGTGTATCTGTAACCTAGAGCGAGGAGAGTGAAGACAGGTGGATCCTGAGCTCCAGGTTCAGTGAGTCTCACCGAACAGCACAGAGGATGTCTGACACTGACCTCCGGCCTTCCTATGCGCACCCATGGGTCAGCATATCTGGGCACACACTAAAAAGAAAATTAAATAAATAGGCAGTCATCAGGGAGTGCAAGGCTAGCCTCCACTACACAGTGAGCTAGAGACCAGCCTGGACTACATGGGATCCTGTATCAAGAGCAAAAAACAAAGCAAAAGCATTAAGAACAAAGTGAAAACTAAGCTACCAATCTCACCTTCATCTGCACATTGAACACACCCCTTTTCTCCTCGATCTTCTCTTTGATGACTGCCATAGCCTGATTGAGAACAGAGAGGCCTTCTGTTCTCTCCAGGGTCGTCGTCGTCATCACATACCGGGGTGGAGCTATGAGGTTAATCTAAAGGAGAAAGACAGAAATAAAGCGATGAATATACATACCCAGACATTCACCAATTGTTTTATTCATTTGCTGCATGAAGGAATCATCTCAACTTGCCTCCCACTTTTCTAGATCAGTTTATTAATACAGTCTCTTATTTTTATCTCATTGAGTTGATAAAAAAATACTCTAATGAAAGCAATTTATGGGAGAAAGGATTTATTTTAGCTCATACAATTTAAAGCACAGTCCATCATGGTGGAAAGTCAAGGCAGTGGGAATCTGAAGCAGTTAGTCATGCTATGTCTGAAGCCAGAAGACAGAAATGAATGCATGCACCCAGCTAGCTCTTCAGTTCCCTCTCCATTTATACAGTCATGATACAATTCAGAGAATGGTGTCATCCACAGTGGGTGGGTCAGTGTACCTCAACTGACACAATTAAACCAATCCTGCACAGACATGCCAGACGGATTCTAAATCTGTCAAGCTGTAAACTAACACCAACCATCATATACAGCAACAGACTATTGATACAATGATCTAATCCAGTTCATAGAAATAGTTCATTGCAATACTGAATATGAAGAATTGTAACTATTGAGTGTTATGGGTGACTGTCATCAGAATAATGAGTAATTGGGGTTGGAAAGATGGTTCAGTGGTTAAGTGCACTTGTTACTCTTGCAGAGGGTCCAAGTTTGGTTCTCAGCATCCACACAGCAACTCACAACCATCTGCAACTTCAGTTCTAGAAGATCTGATGCCCTCTTCTGGTCTCTGTGGGCACCAGGCATGGATACAGTACATATATACAGGCAAACACACATAAAATAAAAATAATAAATATTTTTTCCCCCTTTCAAGACAAAGTCTCACACTATGTAGACGAGGCTGGCCTTGAACTCACAGATCTGCTTCCCAAGTACTAGGATTAAAGGTGTGTGCCACCATGCCTGATAATAAATAAATCTTAAACAAAGAAATTCTGAGTAACGACTATCCAGTTAGGCAAACTTCATCAAAGCTGAATGTATGTTGCTGAGGAAATGTTACCCTTCTCAAGGTATAAACAATCTGGGCACTGCAACTCCTTACTGTAAAGAAGACTGAATACTGCTGGTCCACTCACAATAGGAACCCATCCCCCTTCACTGTCATGGTAGTACCAACAAAAGCCATAGTTGCAAACTGACCAGAAACATCACCAAGAGACTCGTCAACTCGGAGAGGGGGAAAAAGGTTTTAAAAATGAGGTAAGACTGACAGATTTTTGCACACCTCCCACCCCCACCCCCGTTTTTTAACTTATGTGTCTGTTGGGGCTGGAGAGATGGCTCAGTGGTTAAGAGTTCTGGCCACTCTTCCAAAGGACCCAGGTTCAATCCCCAGCACCCACACGGCAGTTTACAATTGTCTGTAATTCCAGTTCCAGGGGATCCAACACCCTCACACAGACAACAGGCAAAATCCCAGTTTACATTAAACAAAAAAAAAAACCCAACAACTTTAAATTCTGTGTCCGTGTCTACCATGTGTGTGGTATATGGGTACCTGAGGTGTCAGATCCTCTAGGGCTGGAACTCAACTCAGATCTTTTGCAAGAGCAGTAGCTCTTAACCTCTAAGGTAGTTCTCTAATCCCCATGCTACCTTTTTTTTTTTTTTTTTTTTTTTTTGGTGTTGGAAATTAAACTCTGGGCACTGAATATGCCAGGCTAGCACTTTACCACTGAGAGCTGTAATTTCCTATCCAGTAAGACCAACTAAGAGAGACAGAGAGAGACAGAGAGGGAGAGACAGACAGACAGACAAGACAAGACAAGAAAAAAGAAAGAGATTGGGAATATAACTCAGTGGCCCTGGGTTCAACTGCCAGCACACAAGTCAACTGCAAGGTTCTGATGAGCAGGGTGGGATAAAATGCATCTTACCTTGATGGGCATGGTTTCTGTAGAACAATTCAAACCTGCTCTCAGGGCTTCTTTTACAGCATCAATTCCCTCATAACCATAGCAAGCTACTTCAATATCTAAAATTACAAAAATTCAAAAGCTAGCACCAGTAATGACCATAAGGAAAGATAAAAGAACCAGAGATGTTGAAGTTATACAGGTATAGATACTTATGACATTAACCTCAATTAGAAATATATTTTCACAGCTGAAAATATCTGTCTATGGCTAGGTAAGTGGTCAGACCCCTGTGATCTCAGCTAGGGAAACTGAGGCAGGATCATTTTACAAAAGACAAAGATACTTATCAAACACTGTGACAGCAAAATGTCTAGATCTGTTTGGAAACTGCAACTCATTTGGCCCCGCAATTCTTTTTTACTTTATTACACTTAATTATCGTGTGTGTACAAATGCACACACAGTTGTGTGGAGGTCTGAGAGGATAACATGGGGGAGGGTCTCTCTTTCCACTATGTAGGTCCTGGGTTTCAACTCAGGTTGTTGGGCTTGTTGGCAAGTAGCTTTACTTGCTGAGCCAGCAAATCTTTTAGAACACCTGTATATATGAGTAAGTATACATTTTTGTAATTGTGAAAGTTAATAAAATCGGTATGTTTCCTAAGAGGAAATGTTAACATCTATGCACTTTTATTGGGGGCTAATGCTAGCTAGGGCTTCACAAATGCTAAGAATGTGCTCCACCCTGATTTTTATACCTCTAACCCTTTGACCAGTGGTTCTCAATTTTCCTAACCCTGCAACCCTTTAATATAGTTCCTCATGTTGTTGTGACGCCCAACCACAAAATTTTGTTCCTACTTTATAACTAATTTTGCTACTGTTATGAATCATA